CTTTAATCCCAGCACTTGGGAGGCAGAGGCAGGCGGATCTCTGTGAGTTCGAGGCCAGCCTGGTCTACAAGAGCTAGTTCCAGGACAGCCTCCAAAGCCACAGAGAAACCCTGTCTCGAAAAACCAAAAAACAAACAAACAAACAAAAAAACCAAAAAACAAAAAAAAAACTTGAGCTTTAATGATAGAATACCAGAAGAATTATATAAACAACTAAGTGTGCTTGAATAACATTACTATGTAGGGTGCCAGTGAGTGGACAGTTATGGTTGAAAAATTTATCAGGCTAACATTTGGTATAAGTTTTTTATGTAAGATAATGAGTTGTTGAAGAGGTTTAAACATTGTTATCTCAAGTGGGAGTAAAAGACTTGATAGGGAAAACATCTTTAAATAAAATACTTATTACTGAGTTTGGAGTGCTGGGATTATAGTTGTGGGCCCCTGTACCCGGGTAATTAGCATTATTAAGACATTTTCTATCTGCCACATTGCCTGTTAGGTATTTCTTCTTATGCTTTTGATGACTTAAAAAAAGAACGACTGGCATGTCGTGGAGTTGGGTTACTGAGAGAACTTTAGAAGCTTCATTTCTAAAGGCTTGTACTAGGGGATCCAAGTCAGGTGGTCACGACTACTGTAATCCAGCTCAGGTGTCACATGTACAGGGCACACACATGCACACTTACTGATTTTTTTGTTTTTGTTTGGTTTTTGAGGTGGGGTTTCTCTGTGTAGCTTGGGAGCCTGGTTCTGGAACTCAAGTCTGTAGACCAGGCCGGCCCCCTTCCTCCCTGAGTGTTAGGATTAAAGGCATGGGTCACCACTGCCTGGTTTACAATGTTTTTCAAAGGTGGCTGTGTTTCTTAATCTCTGGGTATTTAAATGTTTTTGTAGGGCATTTTAGAACTTCAGCATTGAACGTACATGATATTATGTAAAACTTTATCTTGTTTTTTTCCCTTTAGTGTTAGAAATTATGAAGCCTTTCATAAATGAAAATGAAAGCAAGTTAATGAAAAGAAATTTTAAGTTATGTTTAGATTACATTTTGCCTCTAAAAATAACTTTACATTGAAGAATTAAAATACCTTCCTTTAAATTAAGGCACTTCTTATTACTGATTGAGATAACCTTGACAATTTAAACATTATCACTTTAACCCTCTTTAGGGCTGTATAGTAGTTAGTAGATGGTAGAGCTAGCATATAAAACCAGGCAGTTGGTCCACTATCTCTAGCCTTGCAGTAAAAAGCAATAAGATGTTCCACGGAAGACTCTTAAATTTCTGAGTGACCCTGCAGAGCTGAGAAGCTTTAGGGTAGTTAGTCATCTATAGTAAGTTGTGTAAGTAACTATGCTTGACACTGACTTTCATGTCAGTTACTGTTTTAAATAGACTACTGTATTTGGGCTACTGAACTACTTTGTTTATAAGTAGGGTTAGGAAATTGAGCTTTGTAAGTCAAGCATGGTAGTAGTACATATCTATTGTCCCAGTAGTCAGCACTGGGGAGGTTGAGGCAGGAAGATGGCTACAGATTTGAGGTCAGGTAGGATTACGTGAGACCTCTAAAATGAAGTAGGGGACACAGCTTGTTTTGTAATTGGATTATTGGTTCGCTTATAGCTAAGGATCACATTTTAAGTTTAGATTACAGCATTAGGAATCAATTTGCTACTTGAACAGTTCTCTTGATAGTATTAAATTTGTTGTTTGGAAACTTGAAAGCTGTGTCAACTTACTGAAAAGTGTTCACATCTACAGGAGTCAATAGTAACTTGAGAGTAAACCTTTCATTTCAGGCTCCCTATTGGATAGACAGTCGGTGTTGTGCTTTAAACATGATAATGGCTGTATAAGGTAATCCATGTTAGTGTTACTCTCAGACCATCTCAGAATGAGAGAACCTTCCTGCTAGTGTTGTAGAGAGTCTACAACAGGTGCCCATTTGTCCATAAAGATTAGCAGACTTTGTCCCACTAGGCTGCTTACTGTGTAGTTAAACTTGTGCCAGAGAATTAAAATGGGGTGGGCTTTATACTTTCTGTTTACTAAAGATAGACTACAGTGTTGTGTTTTTGCAGTGTTCTGGGGTTTCTGGTTATCTGTTCAACTTTTCTTAAAGCAGGAAAAAAATCCAGAGTGCTTTTGTGCTACCAAAATACTAATACCTTTGTCAAAAGCTTTAGCTCAGAGATAGTTACATTTCACAGAAGATTTGGAAAACTTAATAACCTGGCCCCTTTACTTACAGCATGGAAGGGAGATATTCATTATAGAACAAGTAATTTCCTATTGGCAACTGAATTGTTGTGCAGAACTGAAAGAAAATGTGTTTTCAAAGCTAAGCAAATGAGATTCACCTGATATACTAGTTAAGTAACTTATTTCAGAGGAAACGAACATACTACAGTAGCCTATTAGAGATGGCAGATCCATAGGGTCTTAAAATATGACTGCTGTATTATTGAGGGCATGGCTGTGGTTTGGTAGACTATATCATTCCTTGAAACCAGTTGTGGCAGCTCCACTAGAGGTGGGGGCTGAGAAATGCCACCAATTTGAGGCTAGCTTGATTGATCTGTACTGTAAGACCTGGTTACAAATAGACTTAAAACATTTCATCTAAAATAGTTGGAGGTTAAAAAACAAACTAATATGTTAGGGGATTAGAGAGCCCAAGCAATACTTGGAGAAAAATGTAATAACTATGTAATGTATAAAAGTTACAAGTTGACCAGAATATTTAATATTCTGGATAAAGGGGATTTGTTTTCAATAGTCTTTGAAATGAACATTTTTAGCTCTATTAAGGGTGGGGAGGCATTCTGTTTGTTAAAAGAGCACTTCCATTGGGTCAGTTGATGAGTTAATGTGCTTATTTAATATTTCAGAAAATTAACTTCTATCTAAAAAGTAGTTATATGGCTTGAAAGTAGTAGTAGTTGCTTCTTTTTATGTGTGTTTTTTTAAAAGATTACTTATTGTGCACTGGTGTATATAATCTGTGTGAGGGTGTCTGATCCCCTGGAACTGGAGTTACAGTTGTGAGTTGCTGTTGGGTGCTGGGAATTGAACCCAGGTCCTCTGGAAGAACAGCTAGTGCTATTAACTGCTAAGTTATCTCTCCAGCTCTTTTAGTTTTTATTAGGAAGTATATGTAACAATTTTAAATTGAGAACATTTCTCTTTTACATTGCTTGAAGTGAAAACAAGTTCTGTCCTGATAATTGGTTAATGGACTAGACATAAATTTCTTCTTCAGACTTGCCCTATACACTACACTGTCTTTTATTATAACTTTAGTATGATTAGACTGAAATAATTCTAAATTATTCAGTTACTCATGGGGAAATTCTGTAATCACAGAAATGGTTGCTAGGTAGTTAAAGCTAGCTGAATTTGTTTCTGTGCTAGAATGTAATAATGGATATATAAGCAAGTAGCCATTGCTTTGTAGCCGTTATCCTCGTCTTTAAAAACTGGCATCTGTCTTTACCTTGAAACGTGAATGTTGGTAATGTATTTTCATTTATGGAAGTAATATTCTGGACTTGTAGATAAAAACAGTGTATATATAGCCGTGATTAGTTAAGTAAGTATTGTATATATTAGGAGTTGGCATTATTCAATTGAAAGAAATGTGTATTGAAGTTTTAAATTTTCCATGAAATTGGTAATAAACAGACATTTAAAATGTTCATAATGGGTTTTGGTTATTTTCATTTGATTATAACAATACTAAATGAGATGCACCTGATAATACTAGTTAAGTAGCTTATTTCAGAGGAAATGAACATACTATAGTATGGCAGTCTTACTTTAGGACTAGACACTTGGAGGGAGTCTTGAAAATTGGGGCCTACTCTATAATATGTTCTAGGTTGAAAACTTAATTTTAAATGGAAAGATTTCAGTGTCACCTAAAGTAAGAGTTGACTTGTATTAAAAGTTAGCTTTGTTAGCATTTAATTTCAACAAAGTTGTAAGAATAGTCAGTAATACTTCATTAAATGGATGCCTTAGAGGTGAAGATAAGAAAGAAGTAAAGGAGCACCTTATGCCAGGGTGGAGCTGTAGTGCTAGTCTGTTAAAAGCTTACAAAGCTGAAAGCTGGTACTTTGTCTCCCCCATCTTATCTCTTGTCATGACCCTTCCCCCCAGTTATGAAGACAAGACAATCTTGAGCAAGTGTGGTTTTATCTCTGAAATGACAGTTATAGCTTTATAGGACTAATTTTAACAACTTACGATTGCTTCCAGTTTGACTCTTACAGGGTAAAGGTACACGTTTGGTTTTATAATTACTGCTGTTAATTATTGGTAAAACAAGCAGATGTAGAAAGGATCACACCTGCTGCCAGAATTGTTTTTTGGCATCTTGTTGTATGTTGAGACTTAATTTTTTGTTCTATAATGGTCTTTTCCACTTATCATTTTACAGGCCTAAGCATTTCATAACTTGTTAGCTGAGAGCTTACTTTAAATTAATCATCTAAATTAGTGAGATGTGACTCAGTGGGTAATTTGTTCTCCATGCTGTTTGCATGATTACTTTGGTCCTTTTTAAGGTCTCTTGAAAGTGAAAAAGGTTCAGTTTGGAGGACTTAGCATTTTCCCATTTTTATGTGTTAGAGTTTTACAGATGGAAGTTTTACAGAAAGGAGACTCAGCATAGGTAGCATAGCCCTTGACATGGTTAGTGAAGACTTGTTAGAGTCCAGGAGCTAAGATTTTACCTTTCAGAAACTGCAGTACTTTTACGTGGCATGGGTACATACATGTATGTAAATACCAGCAGTTTGCCTCTTGCTCAGTGTTGTGCTAAGTGGTACTTTTAAACAATAGGGTTTTTGAAATGTGTCTGTGTAGGAGGAGTAACATTTTACTGTATAAATAAATACAGTTTGAGAAAGGTGTGTTACTGATGTGAGGAAATGTAAGGCAAGTTTTAATTTTCTTCTTAGCGTTTTAATACTGCTTTTTGTCTTCACAGGAAAATGTTTATAGGAGGCCTTAGCTGGGACACTACAAAGAAAGATCTGAAGGACTACTTTTCCAAATTTGGTGAAGTTGTAGACTGCACTCTGAAGTTAGATCCTATCACAGGGCGATCAAGGGGTTTTGGCTTTGTGCTATTTAAAGAGTCGGAGAGTGTAGATAAGGTAGTGTGTTACATATTCTGATTAATGAAATGTGGAGAGTTTGATAGAGTAAACTTGTATGTTACTTGTGGGTTTCTTTTCATTAGAAAGAAGAGACACAGTTCTTACATACTTTTGTTGTTTGAAACAAGGTTCCCTGTGTCTTAGGCTGGCCTCAGGCTGAATATAAAGCTGAGGATTAATTACCCTGACTCTACTGCCTCCGCCTTCCAAGTGCTGGACCAGCAGAGGTGCATTAACACACCGTGGTTTTGAGGGGAGAGGCAGATTTAGGAGTTACTTACTGAATACTTTCCATGTGCCAGCCTTCCTAAGTTAAAAGTAATTTGAAAAGGACTGAGGCTTAGTAAGTAAGTACATGATCAATGTCCAGTCCCATCAGGCTTTTCCAAAGAGGGGAGAGGGGGCTTTTAAAAGCCTAATTAAAAAGTATAACAAGAGCCGAGCGTTGGTTGCGCACGCCTTTAATCCCAGTACTCAAGAGGCCGAGGCAGGTGGATCTCTGTGAGTTCGAGGCCAGCCTGGTCTACAAAGCGAGTTCCAGGACATCCTCCAAAACAATACGGAGAAACCCTGTTTGGAAAACCAAAAAAAAAAAAAAAAAAAAAAAAAGTATAACAAGTTGGCACAAAGTGCCTATTTTATGTTTTTACTAGAAAAGCTGTTTGTCTCTCATACCCCTGAGTCGATGAATAGTGTAGTTCCCTCAGACAGGCAAATGTCTACTTGACAATCAACTCTTAATTAAGTCATTATTTTGGTTAATGACTGAGGGGAAGTAGCAAGCATTGTTTATGTGTTACCAGTTAAAGATGATGGTTATCTAGTAACCAATTCAGTTGGTGTGGTACTTCCTCTCCATCACTTCCTTGTGGCTTCTGTACTTGGGCACTAGGCTATATTAGCTGATGTCATATTACCCTCTGGCTTGACAGTCTTAAGCCAGTTGACATAATGTTGGCATTAGGTACATTGTGTGATTATTTTTAAGTAATTTATTTCTGAACATTAGTTAAGTTTTACATATTAAAGTGAAAAACTTAATTTCCTTAGGTCATGGATCAGAAAGAACATAAATTGAATGGAAAAGTCATTGATCCTAAACGGGCCAAAGCCATGAAAACAAAAGAGCCTGTCAAAAAAATTTTTGTTGGTGGCCTTTCTCCAGATACACCCGAAGAGAAAATAAGAGAGTACTTTGGTGGTTTTGGTGAGGTATGTGTGTTTTGGTCCAGTTTATGTCAAAAGTAGTGTGGGATTGCACATTAAGTGGATTTGACCACTGTGTTTTTCAGAGCTTCGTGTTTTTTGTTTTTGTTTTTTTTGTTTTTGTTTTTTTTGTTTTTGGTAATAAGGATATTGCTATGAGCAGATCTGAAGATTAGGTAAGGTTTTCTTATTTGTTGAGCACGTGCATATGCAATGTCATACTTCTCTTGCCCTGAAGGATTGTGTTAGGTAACCTAGGCTGCCCTTGAACTTTTTCTTTCTTAATCTTGAACTCGAAATTAAAGTCACCTTCCTGCCTCTGTCCCACATAAACTACAGGAATGACCCATTGTGCCTGGGTTGTACAGCATGCTTAACTCAAAAAAATTAGAAGGAAGAAAAATACAGGCAGTATGAGGAGGAAGTCAAGATTGAGTTACCTGAAATACAGAAGGAAACATTTAAGAATAGGAAAGTAATAAGAACAGTAGTATAGTAGCTTACCAATTTAAATGTGTGTAAGTGCCAGTTTAATGAGACTATAGATTTACTGAAATAGTGAGCTACCAGTTCCTTTCATGAATTAGTAATTAAAGCTAAGCTGAGATATTTGTGGCCTTGGTCTCCAAGGACAGCAAGCTGACATCTCTTACTT